GGGCTCTGGCGATCCTTCCGCCTCAGCCTTCCAAGTAGCTGGAACTACAGGTGCACGCTGAGGTCTCACCAAGTTGCCCAGGCAGGTCTTGAACCGGCTAATTTTTTAATTTATTGCAGAGATGAGGTCTCACCAAGTTGTCCAGGTGGGTCTCGAACTCGCGGGCTCAGGCAATCCACTCACCTCAGCCTCCCAAAGCATGGGATTACAGGCTGAGCCACCGAGCCCGGCTGACACATGGTTCTTAGTGGCAGAGCTGGGATTGAACCAGAGTTTCTGTGTCCAATTCACAAAGCCCATTTGGATGAGAACTGGGAGGTGCTCGGCTGGACATGGAGGATGTCATGGGGAGTCTGTCGGCCGAATAGGTGTTCCACGGTCTGAGAAGTGAGACCAGGGTGGGGCTCAAGTGAGGTGAAGAGGAAGGGTGGTGGGGGGCGGAGGCAGAGGGGACAGATGTAGGCTGGGGGCCACGAAGCGGTTGGTGGTGGAAGACAGGAGGGGTGGGCATATGGGAGCCCAGAGAGAGCGGGGGAGGCAGAATGGAGAAAGATGAGGCTTGCAGTGAGGGAGACTTGAATTCGAGACTGGACAGGACAGAGGCCGCTGAAGGACAAGTCGTGCACCCTGAAGGCAGGATCTGAGCTGCTGCAGCCCTCAGGTGCAGGGCAGGCATAGTAGGTGCTTTAAGAATGCAGACCTGAAATAACCAGACAAGAGTGGCCCAGTGTGTCCGAGAATAGGCAGAGACCAAGAGATCCCGGGCAATGGGTTGATACCCTCCAGCAGCACTGGGCTTCTTTCTTCGATTCAAACACATCAAATTTATGCCTGCTTGGGAGCCTTTGTATTTGTTTTCTCTGCCCAGAGTGCTGTTCCCTCTGCCCAGAGCACTGTTCTTTCCGCCTAGAACGCTGTTTCCTCTGCCCCAGAATTCTGCTTCCTCTGCCCAGAACGCCATTCCTTCCACCCAGAACACTGTTCCTTATGCCTAGGACACTGTTCCCTCTGCCCAGAACTCTGTTCTTTCTGCCTAGAACGCTGTTTCCTCTGCCCAGAATTCTGCTTCCTCTGCCCAGAACGCGTTTCTTCTGCCCAGAACACTGTTCCTTGTGCCTAGGATACTGTTCCCTCTGCCCAGAACTTTGTTCTTTCTGCCTAGTCTGCTGTTCCCTCAGCCTTGAGTTCTGTCTCCCCCACATTGTGGCACAGTTGGTTCCTCCAGGGCTTAACTCAAAGGTCACCTCCCCAGAAAGGCCCTGCCCAACCATCCTGTACAAAGCCTTCCCAGATAACCCGTTTCTCTCTATGGAATCTCCCTGTGTATCTCTTTCCTGCCGTTTAGCACAATCTGAAGTGATCTTGTTCATGTTTCGTTGTCTGTCTCCCCCACTGGAATGTCAACTCTCTGGAGGCAAGCCCTTCTCGCCTGTCACATTTGCCACTGCATCCCCAGCAGCACCCAGAAGAGAACCTGGCACAGATCATCCGTATCTGTTAGATGAATGAATGACTGTGAGCCTGAGGGACAATGAGGAAGGGAGTAGGTGGGTGAGGCAGGGAAGATGGAGGAGAGAGGTTGAGTGAGAGGCTGGACAAGGGAGGGAGGGAGGGAGGAGCGCCCAGGCCAGGGAGACAGATGGACAGAAGCGGGGGGCGGGGGAGGGGGCGCAGGAAGAGGCCGCTGCCTCCAGATCAAACGATGCTTGCACCCCTGAGGAGCATGGGCGAGCACGTGTGTGTTAGTGTGTGTGGGTACGCATGTGTGTTTACATACACACACGCGCGCGCACTCACTTTCACTCTTTTATCACCCAATTCCAGTCCCTTTCCGCCTCTGTTTTTGTCACCATCTCACCATCTGTCTCTTTGGTCACTGACTTGCTGGCTCACATTGTCCCTCTCCTCCTTCCGTGTATATATATCTGTCCTTGTTGTCTCTCCGCATCAGCACATACACACGCACGAGGGTTTTGGAAGAGTCCTGGAGGCCAGACTGAAGCTGGAGGCTGGGAGCTCTGCACTCTCATTTAATCCCCTCAAGCGCTCAAGGAGGTGGTGAGCAGTGAAGAGCAGAGTGCCCGGGTTCAGATCCAGGCACCATCGCCCCATCTGCTGAGTAATCTTGGGCAAGTTACCTCATCTGTCTGCGCTTTGGTCTCCTCATCTGACAAATGGGAATAAGAATAGTAGCTGCCTCATGCTTGTGAGGATTAAACACGAAATGCAAAGCACTTGTAACGGTAATGAGTACGTATATGTCAGATGTGTATAAATGGTCATCGTCCTCATTTGCACATGAGGAAACTGGACGCTTGGATTGTGCATCTATAACCTGAGGCCCCCATGAAGTGGACAGGGGCACATTTGATCTTCTTTTCCTGGGTAGTCTTATTTGCCCACAGCCTGCTTTCTTTCAGGTTGGCCTAACTTCTTCCAGAGATGGAGGCTCTACCATTATTATTATTATTACTCTTATTATTATTATGTCAGGGTCTCACTGTGTCACCCAAGCTGAAATGCAGTGGCACGATCATGGCCCACTGCAGCCTCAATTTCTTGGGCTCAGGTGATCCTTCTGCCTCAGCCTCCCGGGTGACCATGCCACTCAGCGCCACCATGCTCAGCTAATTTTAATTTGTTTTGTAGAGATGAGGTCCTGCTATGTTGCCCAGGCTGGTCTTGAACTCCTGGACTCAAGTAATCCTCCTGCCTCGGCCTCTCAAAGTGTTGGGATTACAGGCGTGAACCACTGTATCAGCTCAGTGTTCATTATTAAACACCTACCTTGGTGATCACTTGCACCAGCCTGCCTGTTTCTACCACAAAGGAATTGGGATCAGAGAGGAACGGGATTTGCCTAGGGTCACACAACAAGTCAAAAGGAGGTTGAGAGAGCTGGCTTCCTGTCTGGGTTCATCCCGTAACCCTGGGTTCCTTTTACTGATTTTCTGTCCTGTTTAGCAGTACTAAGGATGCAGCAGAGCTGGCTCTTTGGGGCCAGATAGGAATAGAGGGACTGCCATCTGTCAGCAAGACAGAGCCTGGAATTTAGCACCAGGCAGTCCTGAATTTAGGTCCTACCACTGTCCTTATTTGCATGAAGTCGTAGCCAGGTCAGGCAACCTCTCTGAGCCTGTTTCCTCATCTGTAACAGCAGGGCCAATAGTCATCCCTCCCAAGCACTCTTTTCTCACTAGCAGTATTAGGTGTTCTTTCTACCTTGGCTCCTGGCCTCTTCCTTCCTCCCATTTGGGGTAGACATTATTGCCGCTTGGCAAATACAGAGACTGAGGATCAGAGGGGAAGCCACATGGCTTTCTAGCTGTTGACCTGGGGCAAGTTTTTAGCTCTTCTGTGCTTTAGTTTTTCCTTCTAAAAAACTCAGTGGCTCAGTCTGTAATCCCGCACTTTGGGAGGCCGAGGTGAGTGGATTGTCTGAGCCCGCGGGTTCGAGACCCACCTGGGCAACTTGGCAAGACCTCACTTCTACAACAAATCAAAAAATTAGCCAGGCGTGGTAGCACATGCCTGTAGTTCCAGCTACTTGGAAGGCTGAGGCGGAAGGATTGCCGGAGCCCAGGAGGTCGAGGCTGCAGTGGCCAGGAGTGGCCACCGCACTCCAGTCTGGGTGACAGAGTGAGACTCCAACTCAAAAAAAAAAAAAAAAAAAAAGAACTAAATGGATAGATATATGCAGAGTGCATAGAACAGTGCCCAGCGCATTGTAAAATGAGGTCTAAATGTTTGCCATCATTATAATTATGTTGGCCAATGGTCCTTACAGAGTTTAATGAAGATTAAATGAGATAACATGAATGTGAGACTTATGCAAAAGGCACTATCCAGTGATAACGTTTTGCTTGGTTTCAGGCACAGAGCCTTACCCAGATCAGGCCTTAGCCAGAGCTCACCTGAGAGGGAGATCACTGGAGGCAGAGCCATGGGGGAGACCCATGGGGGCAGGCAGCCCAGTCTGGAGTCTGATGGGGTCCGTAGGGGGCTGTGGAGGAGACTGGATGCCCATGGTTTCCTGGCTCTGTTCTGCCTGGGTGCCCTTGGGCAAGTCACTTTCCTTTCCCCCTCTGGTCTCCTGTTCCATCATCTGTGAAATGGGGACAATAATATTTGCTCAGCTTTTCTTGCAGGGTTATGGTGGTGAGGATCAAAAGGAATTATGGATGTAAAAGTGTTTGTAAAAACTGTAGAGGATCGTTAGCTGTCGGCTTGCTTTGTAATTATTGTATCAAATAAACCATATTCAGGCCTTCTACTGTTCTTCCTCTCTTGAGGGCAAGTAAATAGGTAGCCCAGGAAGAATCTAAGGGAACTGGTTCTAGGAACAACAGGAGAGATAGGAATTCGACTTTAGGAAGGACTTCCTAAAGCTAGCGTGGGAAAGGGAAAGAGACAGAGAACGGGAAGGTTCCCAGGCACCGGGTCAGTGAGAGGCCTTCTGGTCTGTGGGAGGCTGGGCTGAGGGCTGAGTGAGTGCTTGAAGACCAAGAAAGGGCCGGAAAAGGCTTTTGGCTCTAGAGGAAGAAGGCCTCCTTGGGTAACTGGCTTTTGAGGACCAAGAAGGTACAGAGCATTGTGGGAGGCTGATGGGTCCTCAGAGGTTAGCCCAGCATCCCAGAGCGTCTCAGGACCACAATCTATCTAGGGTCATCCTGAGTTAGGTGGAGACTTGAGAAGTCCTCTCAGGGTCCCCAGCACCCACCTGTGCCATCCCATATTCTGGGGGCAGCTATGAGTCAAGATGGAAGAAACTCCCTTTCCAGACAGATGTCTGGGATTGTCTGGAAATGAGAAGCAAGTGCTGAACACATTTCCTGGCTCAGTGTGGGGCCCAGTGTCTGCGTGGAGAATCCCTGGAGTTCCGCTTGGGCAGGGATTCGGCAGGAGGCTGGGGTGGCTCCGGAGTGTGTAGCTGGAGGTCTCCTCCGGACTGCGCGGGCTTTTCCCGGTGCTATTGGGGTTCTGCTGATTCTGAGTTCTCTTGGCTGTCTAGATTGCATCTAGGTCCCATCTGGCTCTGTCTAGGTTCGATCTGAGTTGTCTGGGATCTGTCTGGAATCTGTCTGAGCCTCGTCTAGTTCAGTCTGAGCCTGTCTGGTTTGTGTCAGGTCTTGTCTGCATTCTGCTCGGACCCTGGCAAGCTCTTCTCTTGAGGTCCCAACTGGCTACACTCCCAGGTAGATGCTGTTTGGATCCTGTCTTGATTTCACTCAGGCTCCGGGGTTAGATTCTGTCTGAGTTCTGGCTAGATTCTTTCTGGAAATTAGGATGAACTCTGTTTAAATTTCCACTGGGGAGGGTTAGGGCTCCGGATGTCATTCAGTTTCATGGGCTGAGATTTTGCCCTCAGACCTTTGTCCCAAGCAGAGAAGAGTGTGGAGTCAGGAGGGTGTAGAGCTGGGGAGCCCTCCCTGCCTGCCGCCTGTCCTCTTGCCCTGATCTGTGTGAATGTGCAGATGAGCTCAGAGAGGCTGGGAGGACAGACCCAGCCATCCCTCCTGAAAGTCCCTGCAGGCGCGGCTGAACGCCTGTGTGTCCACACGTGTCAGCGTGTGGCTCTGCTGGGAGTCTGTGTGTGGATGAAAGCCAGCGTGTCAGTGCATTCTGTGTGGGCGTCACAGACCTATTCCTGTGTGCCTCGGGTGTCAGCTCTTCTGTCTATGTCGCTGGTCTGTCTGTCGGTGGCAGTGGTGGTGTGGGTGGGTGAATCCCTTTGTGTCTCCGAGCCCTGCGGGTGGAGGGCTGAGCAGCTGTAGGTTGCAACTGGAAAATTCAAGCAGGGAGAGTAGGTGGGTGTGAAGCTGGAAGGGGCTGGATGGAAGCGAGTGAATGCACCCAGAAGAACTGGCTGAGAGGGGAGTGAGAGGGGACGGGAGGAGGAGGCGCAGGGCCAGGGAGGTCAGGGTGCCGCCTGTGTCTCTCACCCAGCCCTCCCTGGGCCTGCCTGTGCTTGCTCAACTTGGCGCCTGCTACTGGCAGTGAAGTGACCTTGCGTAGGGGACGCGTCTGGTCAGGTGGGACAGGAGGGGAAGATAAAGGGAGTGAGATCTGGGCAGGAGGGGCTGGGGGCTAGCGGTGAAGTTCAGGCTCCTGGGGCTCCATTCCAGAGCCCAGAGTCAGCTATTGCAAGACTGACATTTAGCTGGTTGTTACAATATTGAAATTCATCGGTGCTGGTTGGTCAATAGCAGCTGCCTTGAGTACCATCCCCCTCCAGTTTGACTCTGTATCCACAAGGCCGCATCCGCCCCAAAAGAGTGCCTTTTGCTAATTCCCTCTGAGGGATCCTTTGGGCTGTCAGATATTTTTGGTGCCCTTGCCATCTCCCCTGTACCAGCCCCCTCCCAAGACCGCTTCTCAGAGCCTAGAGCAGGGAGCATCCAGGTACATGTGGCAGGGGAGGGCCAGAGACCTAGAGAGCCAATCTTGAGGACCTGGTAGGGACTGCTCATAGATTCAGCTTTCCTTGCCCCCCAGGCGAAAGACAGTGATGATGAAGAGGAGGTGGTCCACGTGGACCGAGACCACTTCATGGATGAGTTCTTCGAACAGGTACTGAGCCTCCAAGGCTCCCATCCTCAGAACCACCTCCTCCACCAAGAGCTTCTTTCCCTGCTCCTTCTTTTGTTTTTTGTTTGTTTTATTTTGGTTTTTTGTTGAGTTGGAGTCTCACTCTGTCACCCAGACTGGAGTGCAGTAATGCAGTGGCCGCGCCCGGCCACCGCAGCCTCGACCTGCTGGGCTCCGGCAATCCTTCTGCCTCA